TCTTTGATCAGAATCGCTCTCTCGACCGCGGCGTACCGACTTGTCGTCCGGCGTTGATTTCTTGACACTTATTAGACAGGGTTGGTAAGGTAACTTTCCACTGAATTCTTATTGAACTAATCGACAAATGAGTATCGCCAGCACCAATTTTCAGTCATGCAACTTGTCGTTCAACGATAATCGAAAGGTCGCCGCAAAGCCGGCGCATTATCTCTCCACAAAGATAAGGCGCGCGCTGTTAAACTTACATATAAACTGTGTTATTTCTTACATATAAACTGTGTAATTTCAGAAAAAGATTGAATTCAATTCTACACAACATCTTCAGATAACAATCAATGACGATATATTAAATTGACACGCAACTATGTTGAAGATTCAGCGCAAAACTTTCAACACGGATCGATTTTAACAAAAGTACAAAATATTGTTTACCGTGTAGCAACGGGATTCCTGTATTATTATGTCCAATTTCATTGTTGTATATATTGTTCGGTTGACTTAATCTTTCTTTATAACGGAACATCATTAAAAAAAAACTAACAGGGCAACTAATATTTTGCCGATTTCTTAGTAACAAATAAGCAATAAATAAAAATATTTATTAGAATTGGTCCGCTCATTTTGATCCGCTACCTTAAAAACACGTTTGTCTAGAAAATTTTTTCGGATCTGATTGGAATTTATTTCAATTCCGCAAACAAATGATGGATTCTGATTGGGAAATCTATGAAGATTCGGATCAGAGATATAATGTTTCAAAAATGAGATTCTAGTGGGAACTCCGGACAGATTCCATTTTCTCCGTACAAAATTTATCAATAGTTTTCTTTATTTTTTTTTTAGGTTTTTATTTTATATTCATGTTGAACAAAATATATGAAAAGCTTCGAGCATTTGCGCACATTTTATAAGTAAAAATATTTAAATAGCGTATATGCTCAAGCTGTTTCAATGATTTTTATCAACTTTTTGAAGTAATTTATAAATGTCTCCAATATATGTAAAAATATATATTTTTATTTTGAACATGAAACTACAATTAAATTAAACATTTAATTTTACTTTTCTTCATTGGGCAGACAAAATGGAATCTATGTTTCTCATATAGAGAATCTTAAATGGAATGTAATTGAGATCTATCCCGATTGATCAGTTAAATAAAGTTACGTTTCTAAATGGGAAACTCAGGCAGATTTCATTAGTTTTGCCCAATGTTTCCCTAAAGTTTTCTCATAATTAGGATGAGAATGGGATTTCTGATTGATATCGCAATATCTTACGCTTATTTGGGATAAGTTTGGGTAATCTATCAGAATCTATGCTATATTTGGAAATGTTTGGGAAATTTGTATACGAAGTTTATCTATGGTAAATATGTTAAGAGACGAGCTGTGGTGACGAGGATATGTATTTCATGTATGCCCTACTATCAGTGTTTGCCTTAGATGATTTCAGATTCATCTAGATGAAGATGAGATGAAAATCTGAAAAAGTCGTCTTAGATGAGACGAAAATGATTTTGTTTTTAATTTATCTAGATGCAAGATAAGTAGCACTACTTATCTAGATAATTTTTTTACATGATTTAGATTGTTTTCATGAGAGACTTTATAAAAATTTATAATTAAAATTACGTAGATTATAAAATTACACAACAGTTAAGTAATTCGTCAATATAGTCGTTCTAAATTTATATATCTAATAAAAAGACTAATAATCATTGACTGTTCACCAATCACTGTGTTTTCTGAACGCAGTCATTATTTTAGTCTTTTTCTATAAAGCCCATATTAGACTATTGTGAAGGCCAGTCTGATTGACGGTTACGACTATCGACTCTTCTAGAAGGGTCTATCATAGTGAAGCGTCATGTAACTAGTTTATTATAATTGGTCCGTTAAGAGTTGGCAGTCGTAATTGGCAGTTTGATACGAGCTTGAAATGGATTGATCAATTGTTAAAAATAGTCTTCTTTTTAATTGCACTAGTTCAGCAGTGCAGCTAAAAAGAACAGACCAAAGGGGGCAAAACCGAAATTTGTTAATTCGTTGAAATCTAATTTCCAATCCCTAGTCTGATACGTGCTTAACGCATAGATCCATATTATTTCATTCATTTGATCGAAAAGTGAGTTCAGAATATTGTCTATAATTATTTCAGTTAATTTTTAGATAAGATAACTTTTTTATCTAAGATGAAGATGAATATGTTTTGTATTTCTTCCACCTAGATAAAGATAAAGATGATCTATTTACACATCTGGATGATTATTTAGATAATTTTATCTAGATACCTGCAAACACTGCTTACCATCTTCTAGATCATTGAGAATCATACGATTTTCCGCCTTGCACGTATACGCGAAGATCGAAAATTCTATACGTAACTCCAGTTGTAACAGTAAGACATATTTGATGCACTGTGTATGCACGCGATAACGTGGTGGTGGCTCTTATTATTAGCGTGGTATGGTTCTTGTTATTGTGGAAGAGCGTTCGCATTTCGATCTAATAATACTGATCTCTACTGTTCCTCCTTTACTCTTGGAATAGCGTTATTTTCGGCGAGGTGACAACACGCTGTTATCTCGCGACTCCTCTCTTTCTTTTGAATTCTTCTTTTTCGTCAGTTCCACACGTTCGAACAGGTCGGTTCAAAGAGTTCTAACAGGCGGAGGCGCGAAGGCGATGGAGGTGGATGCATGCGGTAAAAGAGACGCGGGAAAAAAAGAAACGATTTACGAGCGAGTAAAATCAACGTGCGTGGCGTCTCGGCTACCTTTTTGCCGCGACGACGACGTTCCGCGAGGAGTTAGAACACTCCGCTGTATCTTATTGACACCCTGTCGGGCAACACGAAGAAGAAGAGAGAGAGGGCGAGCCGATAAATCATCGCGGTAATTGCGTCACAAACGATCCTTCACCGGATAACGGATGAGAAGTACCGAGGCGCGAGACGCGCTCAGGATACACGATCCATTATTCGTAAGATTCGCGACCGGCGAAATTACGAAATCACGAAGAGACGGTTAATCGCACGCGCGAGAAACTCGCGTCACTCACGTCGAGACGTCGTCGATGATGATGGCCGGCTCTCCTTCTTTCTCTCTCTTTCTCTCTCTTTCTCTCTCTCGTCCTACGCGAGTTCTTTCGTTCGGAAGCGCACATGTTTCTACGGCTGCCCGAATGGACATTTTGATTTCATGTTAAATTTTTAATTCTACAACCCAGCAGGAGGTAACAAAATAGGTTTAACTTAATTTCTAATAATAGAATTTATTAATTTTCTCCTTTTTTAATAATGATGTTTTAAATTTCCGTTTTCGCTAGTTTCAGTGTCAAAATAGGTCAGCCGATGTAAATAATGTGTTTAATTTTAAACTTAAGCGTATAATTTTATGTTAATACATGAGTTGGACATTCGCAATTCGGCTCTAAATGTTCTTATTTCCTTTCTATTGTCGAACTAAGTTGTTTCGAAGTAATATTAAAATTAAATCTGTAAAATTAAAAGTTGGAGGAAGAAGTTAACAAGTGTAGTATCATCAAAGTAGGTTTTTACTAGCATGTAAACCATAAATAGCCGTAAACTATCATTAAGGAGTAGTCCTGTCTAGACGACGAATTTTTAAGCGAACTTTGACACTTTTTTGTTTAAGCTATTGTATTTACGAATATAAGATTTGGTAGACATATTTCATTATATTTAAGTAACAATTATATTTTAGACAGAAAAAGAGATACCTATATTTCATAATTTAAATATTACAAACTATTTCGTACAACTTTTATCTCGTAACGATTGACGCGAATGCAGTTCTTGTTTATCTAAAGCATAAAAAAC